AGAAAAGAATGGGGATTTCTCTCTTTTAACAATTTTTCAACCCATATAGCAAGCGGGGATCTCTTCGTATAATCCCCAGGTGCTAATTAATAGACTCGAGTCGAGCTTCAGGGAACAGGGAGTAATTCCTGAACGACTTCATTCTATATGACCAATGTAACTTGCTTCGATCTAACTTTACATCTCCCAGCGAGCTAATTTAATTACTTACACACTGAGTATAGAACGTGACTCGATCTAGGGAACTTCGTTGCTTAGAGAGTGAGAGATAAATTCAAAGAATGTGAATGATGAAATTTCAACGGATAAATCTTGTCTCGAATGAGGCTCGATAACTTTAATTAAAATGTTTTATTTATCAATTTTCTTCTTCTCTTTTCTTTTCTTCTTATCAGAGAAATTTCTCAATTTCGTTTTATTAGATTTTCTTCTTATTAACTAAAATCCATTTCTTGAGGTAATTCCCGCTGGAAAATCTCTGTCTTAAAAATTAATATACACACTGAAAATTGGTGAGATTTTAATAAGGAATATTAATTTCCAAAAATGTACTAATTGAAAATAATTTTTACTACTATATTCGTATAAATAGATTAAAATAAAAAATTTTCCCAGTTTGTTTATTAATTTTCATGTTTTTGAGATAAAAAAAAGTTTTTTCTCCATCAAATATATCGAGTAAATTTTCAGGAAATTTTTTTTAAAAATCAATTAATAATTAAATTTGTTGAATTTCTTTTTTTTTTAATATAAACAATCAGCCAATACAAAGTAGAGTACCCGCACTGCTGTTAAAACTTACTTAACTAATATACCACAAAATATTCCCAGCTAGTTAAACTCGAGAGATTTTAAATTAAGTACATAGGTATAAAACGTGAAAGTTTAAATGTTTTGAAATTGGAAACAGTAAATATGGTAAACTTTAATGAGTTGAATAAAAAATTGTACAAAAAAAACCACAATATAGCATTATAATAAAACTTTTGAAATAATAAAACCACAAAAAAGAAAATAAATCGCAAAAATATTCAACGCAAGTTTAAAAAAGTTTAAAAGTAATTGAAATATTCGAATTGGGAACAAAGTCATTTTTATATTTTGACACCTTTTTTTTCTACAAATGTGTATATAATTTTGAGACAAGAATATTTTTCACAATTTATAACTTTTATTCGACAGAGAAGTTCACAGAACTTTTGACCTCCTTTAAAAATTATCTTCTCGATTTGACACGGAACAAGTTTTTAAATAGATACAATATATAATTTAAAGAAAAAACTTTCTTTACAATTTTTTTTTTATTTTATAAAACTTACTTTGTTGGAGAAGCGGAGAATTTTATTTATTTTTTTTTACTAAATAGGAATTTTTTATTAATCCCTTTTTTATTTATTTATATTTAATCGAATAAGGCAGAATTTCCATTTAACTGTATTACAATTTAACAAATTTTTCATTTTCATTTGCAACTAAATATTTATTTGATATTAATCAAGTAAAAGATTATTTGAATTAAATAATTTTTTTTTCAGTGTAGAATTTCTATTTGAATTTCCAAAAGAATATCATTGAATTTTCATTTAACAAAATTCCTGTTTTTGATATTAATACCAAAAGAAAAAAAAGGAAATTCGTTTCTCGCACGTTTCTGATAATTTTCCAATATGTTCCTTTTCAAAGTTTCCAGCAATTCAAGATACAATTGTCGACTTTGCTTTCTAGTTATACTATATTCGCAAAAGAGCAAAAGAAGGCCAATATCGATTTGAACTTTCCAGTTCCTATTTTCTCCATATAAGTGTCTTAGAAACGAAAAAATTTTCGTTTTTTTTTTCGATTGTTATGGTTTTATTGTTATTTTCTTTTTATTGATATATGCATTGTTTGTCGTTTTTCTATTTATTTACACCTCTTTTTTATAGTCATCTTTTCATTTTTATGCATTGCGTTCCTATATATATATATAGGATTTTATTTCTATTTATCATCTTTTCATTTTCACATGCCATCTTTTCACCATTATTTATTACTATTTTTATCTTCATTTATCATTTTTTTTCTTTTCGTTATCATATTCGTTATTTTTTTTTTTGTTTTGTTCCGGTTATAAGTCGAAACCGCAAGCACACGTCGTTTATATTTGGGGTGAAAAAAAAGAGAGAGAGAGAGAGGGAGGGAGGGAGGGGGGAACCCAATTTTTTTTCTCACTTGTGTGTGTGTGTGTGAGTCAAAGGTCACGTCGAACGTGTTCGCGCATTGTGGAACGGGTAGGTTTTTAGTGGAGCACGTCCTAGACGACGACGTTGCGGAGAGAAGAGCTATTTCCTCTCTTGCCCGGCCTCGGATCTTATTACGGAGAAATGTAACGTCACGTGTCGAATTACACAGAGAAACTCTTACCATTGATCCCTGTCTACAACTATACTACTACCACTACCATTACCTACTGTGCGTGTATAACTGAAATTTATCTTTGATAGAGTTTGATAGTCTTTGGGACATTTGAAAACGTATACATATAATATTATATTGTCTATGCTGTTTGATCTTATTATATCAACTGCATTAGAGATTACGTGGGAATTTCTAAAGCACATTTCCGGCATCATCCTTTCATGTAATATATATATAATAGTTAGCTCGGGGATTCGACAATTTTCTACAATGTCCAGTTACACACAATGGAATTGAAGATTTTATCATACATGTAGATTAGGAAAAGTTATACTTCTCATTATCAAACTCAATTATTTCTTGCAAATATATTTTATTTCATTTAAATAAAAAATTTATTTACGCTAAATAAATAAGTTAGTATAGGCTCTGAGACAATTATACGTTTATTTAACTCAAATATATTATATTTGCTTCAAATAAATCATTTCTCTGGGTGTAGTAAAAGTAAAATTTCTAATCAATATAGCAGTTCAGTTGAATAGTTTTTTTTTATTTAAAATTAGACGACATATTTTATTCTAAAAAATAATATTTACAAAAAATATATTGTTTATGACATTAAAAAAAATTATTTTATTCAAACAATCGGTTATTAAACTACAGTGAAACCCACGTATATAGGATTTCAAGGATATAGAAAATACCCGACACATAAATCTACCCTACCGACTGATGGTAAAACGATTTTATATATATATATATATTAAAAATTACAGGCCTAGAAATCTGCCTTATCGACTGAAGGTAAAATAGTTTATGAAAATATATAAATTACCGTCACAGAAATCTACCTTACCGACTGATGGTAAAACAGTTTTTTAAAAATAAAAATATAAAAATTACCGATCTAGAAATCTGTCTTACCGACTGGTGGCAAAGCAGTTTTTTTTTGAAAAATATAAAAAATTATCGACACAGAAATCTACGTTACCGACTGATGGTAAAACAGTTTTTGAAAATAAAAATATAAAAAATTCCCGACGTAGAAATCTGCCTTACCGACTGATGGCAATACAGTTTTTTGGGAAAATAAAAATATAAAAAATTATCGACACAGAAATCTGCCTTACCGACTGATGATAAAACAGTTTTTTTTTGAAAAATGTAAATATGGAAAAGTACTGTTTTACCATCCGTCGGTAAGGTAGATTCCTGTGACAATAAGTTTTTATATTTTTATTTTTTAATAAACCTGTTTTACCATCAGTCGGTAATGCAGATTTCTACGTGGGTAATTTTTTTTATGTTTATTTTTCAAAATTTTTACCTTCAGTTGGTAAGGCAGATTTCTAGGTTGGTAATTTTTTATATTTTTATTTTTCAAATTTTTTTACCAATCTTGTTAATTTGTTAACCATCTACATATTATCAAATAAATATTTACTTAAACCAAATAATTTTTATTTCAATTAAATAAACTGTATTTGTTCTAATAATTTGTATATTTGAATCAAATACAATTTAATTGACTCAAATAATAATTATTTAATAGAAATAAATTTTTTTTTCAGTGTAGAAAAAAAATTATATTCTACATTATTAGTTCAGTAGTTTTTAAAAATTTTTTCTATTAAAAGTTAAGTTACATTTTTTCTTTAAAAAAAAAAATTAAAAAAATAACTGTTCGCATATTTATATTAATAAATAAATTTAAATTACAAAATAAATTTAAATTGGCAAGAATTTTTTTATAATAAAATTGCAAAAGTTAAAATTTAATAAAAGAGATAATACATTTTGTGTAATATACATATATAATATACAATGTTTATTAAAATAGAAGGAGGATAAGAAAAAAATTCCTGAGAATGGAATTTTGTTTCGTAAGTCATATTGTTTTTTTTCGCCCTTATAAAAGAGAGAAAGAGGGAGAGAGGGAAAAAAATTAGTGTAATAAAATTTTTTAAACTCATATTCAAGCTCATCGCGAGTATATATATATATATAGCAAAGTAGAGAATATAAGCTTTTCCTTTTGGTAATAGCATCAAATATCCCATTTGAAAGTGCATTAATATAAATTATGCCTCAGATTATTTCCCCAACGCCATTTGTGTAGAGTCAGACCATGTCAGACCGACTGTTACTACTACTGAACATTCAGACATTTCTACCGCACCTTGTGATGAGAAAACAAGGAGAGTATTATATGCTTCAGTGATAACAGGCAGTCAGGTAACTCTCACTGGGACTTCCCTCGGAATGCATTTTCTACAACTCAGTAAATAATGCATTCCAACCTATAATATTGAAAATTACATAAAAAAAAAATAAATAAAATTTCTTCCTCTCTAAAACGAACTGAATAAACAATTTTATTTCAATTATATTTATTATTGCTACGTACTAATTCAACAATATAATTAAATATTCACTAAAATATTTAAATTGAATAAATTATTTTAATCAAATACTATTTTAGTATAATAATAATAATTACTACTATTATGATTATTATTACAATAATTATCCTAATAATTAATATTAATTTTTTTTTTTTTTGAATAGAAGTAAAAAATTGTTTTATTTTTATTTTGCAGCTGAGCGAGATCATTGTAACAAAACAGTGGACATTTATGAAGACGTGTCGAGTCCTGCAGTGACATTAAAGACTTGGGGAAAACCACTTACTTGCTGGTATCGTTTTCGAGCTTTTCGTGGCACTCCCCGGGATTGGATTTTGCGAGTTCGTTTCAAAAAGTTCAAAGTTGGCGTACTTGAGAATGCAACAACCTGTTCTGGAGGTTACCTACAGGTGAGTTTTGTTTAGCATTTACTTTACATTTTTATTATTTACAAATCTATGTCAACAAAAATTTACTTCTTCAAATAGAAGTTTCACCTTAATTTTTTATATTTCGTTTCTATTATTTTTTTCAATTCGCAATTGTTTTTATTGCATAATAATAACAATAATTTTTCTTATTATTATTATGAGGCGCATTAATATCCTATAAATTATATTACTTCAAATTTTTATTTCAAAGAATTTTATTAAATAAACAATTTTTTTAGGTAGATTTTAATTTTTCTCAATATTATTTGAAAGAAAAATAATAATTATTATTATTATTCAATTATAATAGTAATTTTTAACAGAGTTTTTTTTAAATAAATAATAAAAATAATAAATTTTAAATTTAATTATACAGACAAATAATTTTGGAATTTGAAGAGAAAAAAAAAATTATCGAAGCGATTTGAATTTTGTGATATTAATGCAATCTATATGTTCATAAAACGTGTGTCTTGTGCATAATTCAGCCATTAGTCGCTAATGCGTCACAAAATGATGAGGGGAACGGAAGGGAGGTTGGGAGGGATGAAGAGTTCGTTCGCTTGTTAAGCGATATATGACACTGTGCGGTATCGCTGATAGATAATGCACTGGAGTGAAAACGACCGCACGGACCAATGGTGTGGGGTCGTTTGTTCGTTCTGAAACATAGTCAACGGAAATTGAATTAATTTCACGCGAATTCCAAAACCGGTGCCGCACCACAAAGGAAGCCATTTAAAAACCACGCGAGAATACAGTTCCACTAATAATTGCAACACTGTCTGTCGTTGTTCCTCTCTCTCTTTCTCTTTTTTTTTATTTCAATATTATTTTCTTGTTCCATTTTTCTCTTATTTTTTCTTTTACCTTTTATTTTACACTTCCTGTATTTTTTTCATTCCCTTTATTATTATTTTTTTTTGGTTTTTGTTTTTTTTACTTACATTTTTTTCGGTTTTCTGTATTTAATTCGGTTTTTTAATTTTGTACTTTTCTTTTTTTTTTATTTCCATTTCACTAATTCGGATTTAATTTTTCTTCTTTTTTATTTTTTCACCTTATACTTATTTTTCAAACCATTCTCTCTCGTTTATTTTTAAACAATTAGTAGAATTTATTTATCTTGCGTGATAATTTTTTTTCTGTACATAATATCGCGCATTTTCTCCATTAATTAGTATTTTTGTTTCGTCAATTAATTTTCACTTATTAATTATAATTATATGATTTCATCTCTCTTTCTCCATTTTGTTTGGTAAATTCTGTTAGAACGTTTATTCATTGAAGAATATAAGGGAAATTATTATATAAAAGTAGAAACACAATCTAATATTAGAAATTTGATTTAAATTTCAAGATAAGAATATTTTTTCTTGTTAAATTTTTTAATATTTTTATAGTCAAAATAAAAATTGTTTAGTGAGAAAATTATCGAATATTGCAAAGAACAATATTTATTTTTCTTGTGTGTGAAATCCAACTTCTTGAAAATTTAAACTAAATTTTTTTATAGTAAGACTTAAGGTGCGCGCTCTTTTTTTTTATTTTCTTTCTCTCGACAATAAATAACGATTCTTATCCTTCAGTTCAGGATACAGCATCCGGTAAACAAGGCACATTGCCTCTATATTGTGTACATATATATATATATATATATATATATATATATATACGATTTTTATTCTTTGTCTGTGCAAGAGACATATATACATATATACTTTTTACTTTTATTTGAACTTTATATTCGACGTTTGATAATCGAATCTCGTATACGCCACTGCACCGGGAAACTATTTCCCTCAAAGATATTTCGCGATTTTCGGAAATGGATATTGGACTTTATCTAGGGTGAAAAAAAAATTCTTTTTAAAACAGTCTTGCTCATCGTATTTGCAAATAAAAAAAGCAATACAAAAAATTACTGACTATTTAACAAAATTTCTATTTCAACAAATTTTGTATTTAGCGAAAAATTTTTTTTATTTATTTATTTATTTATATTTAATATATAAAAAAGTAACTAAATTTTTTTTTTAATTTATAATGGAAAATATAAAACAATTTGTAAATGAAATGGGTAAATAACAATAATTGGGAAAAACAAAGAGAAAACTATATATAATTTGCGAAAACAGAATTGCACAGAGTGTTTTCATACTGAGAATAAAAAATTCATTTTTCTAAATGGAGCATAGCATTTTTATAGTTCTATTAAAAAGTGATGGAAAAAAAGTTATTTCACAAATAAATATACCGTTACGTGACGGTTTTTCTTTTTTAGTTTCGTAAAAACGAATTGACATTTTGCTATATATATATATATATATATATATATATATATATATAAAGTATTACTTGCAAATATGTATGCCACGTTTGCAATGTGCACTCCATTGTGTCCTTCTTGGCTCTCGTTTCAATCCCTGACCCCACACGAACCTATTTCCTTGCAACCATAAAACTCCGGCAACGATATAGGTAAGGGGCGCTGCCCCCGTTTCGTATAGGGCCATCGAGTTGAAAACGACCCCTAATCTCGTTCTCGTGAGAACGAAAAATATATATATATGAACGAAATCAAGAAAGATTCGATATATTTTAATACGAAAAACATCTAACATTTTTTATTCCTCTCGAAAAATTGTAAATTTTTCAATATATCGAATGGAAAAGCAATCATTTTTTCATGTCAACTTTTAGATTATTTTTTTTGATTTTGGAAAAAAAATTTTTTTATTGAACAAAAAGAAAATATTTTTGCTGCAAATTATTATGTATAAGCAAATTTTTAAATTCTTTTAGAATCTCCTTTTTAATATATATAGAAATATATTTTTTTTGTGATTTTAGTAGTAAAAGTCAATTTTGATCAGACAGAACTATGAATGGTTTTATAATTTCTATATGTCAGTAGTAGAAATCAGTTTTAGTCAGACAGAATGCTTGCAAATTTGACAACAGTAGTAAAAGTGTGTTTTAGTCAGACTTTGCTTTTTTTGCAATTTTAATATTACTACAGTAGTATTATAAAAAATATAGAATTATATTTTTATAAACAAAACAGTATCTATATGAAAAAAAATATTGATGCTAATACACTTTTCAATTGTATTACACTGGAAAAAAAATTTATTTGATTCAAATAATCGATTCACTTGACTAAAAAATAAATATTTATTTCAATTAAATAGTATTTGTTTCAAATATAGAAATTCAAATATTTATTTAATTTAATATTAATTTTATTTAATTTAATTATTTGTTTTCAAAAATTAATTGCTTCAAGTAAATATTTATTTGATAATAGCAAAGTAATTGATTATTTAAATCAAATAAATTTTCTTTCATAATTATATAAATTAAATAAAAATTAATTTTATAAATCAATAATACAAAAACTACCATAAAGAATAAAGTTAAATAAAAAAAAATATATATAATATACTGAAAGATAAATTTCTTTTGATGTTTCATATAATATATCGTTTATATGGAACTTGCCATAAAAATTATACGTCAAATAAGTTATTTTTCGTTAAAAAAAAAGTGATGTCATTTCCAAAAAAAAAAAAGTGCAAGACTAAACAATAAAACACGACTGCTGGGTCATGTCAATAAATCGTTATTTTATCCGGTGCTTAGACAAAGGGAGATTTCGCATTGCCATAAAAAAAAAAAAAATAAAAAGTGGGGGAGGGAAATGATAGGGAAAAAAATCCCCTCCTAACGGCAACAATATACGCGTAATAAAAACTATACCCATCGCAATCTATCGGTCGATAATAATGGAATTTACGTGTAATTTTTTTTAACCCCCACTTTCTAAAGTATTATAGACTTCTTATTTGTCAACCCACGCTTTTATATATTATTTTTCATCGATTTTTCTCATCGCTTTATATATATATTCTCCCTTTATTCTCCACGAATATAATATATATATATATATATATATAATTTTCATATTCTGCGTTATACTCTCGATATTTCCATTATCTTTTGTCTTCATTATCTTCCCATTTACTTCGCGTTTTACCACAATTGCTATAAAGCCAGTAATGGAAGGAATTCCATGGACCTGTTAATGTGTCAGTTTCCTACCTGGCTATTCTAATGCCTTTGAAATTCTCTGAATTATATTACAAGTACAAACTACTATCAAATCTCCACTTGGAATCCACTCCACTAAAAGCTAAGAACTTGCAACTTGCTTAATTTTATATTACACAGTTGTAATAATAAATTTCTTTCTTTTTTTTTAATAATAGATTAGGATTTTTTTAAAAAAAAAGAAGCAAAATGTTTTTTTAAAAATAAAATTTTTATTTAAATTTTTTTTTTTTGCAAATTGTAAATTTTAATTTATATATTTAAGGATATTTTAGCCTCGTAACATAACATCGAACTGAAAAATAAATTTTTTACAGAACTAAAAATTATATTTAAAATTTATTACACCTTTTTAGAAAAATTTAGTTAAACAATTTTAAAAAAAATATAATTTAAATAAAAATTCCCAATTAATAATTAATTAATATTTTTTTTTTCTAAAAAGTTATATAATAATCGTAATTTTTATTCAATTTTTATATAACAATAGCTCCTATTTCTCTTTGAAAGATTCTCTATACAATTTTGATTTTGTGTTTTTATTAAATAATGATTTGTTTAAAAAATATAAAAAATTTTATTTGTTTAATTTTATTAACAATATTTTATAAAAAATTTTGTTAATAAAATTCAACAAACAGTATTGTGGAAATTGTTTCCACAATGTTTCACAATGTGTTTTGTGTAAAAATTGGATAAATATTACAGTTCACCAACTTTAAAGAAAAATTAAAATAATTATTATTTAACAACAAATTTTTACGCAAAATAATTTATTTTGAAAATTGTACATAATTGAATCTTTCAAAATTTGATAAAATTAATTTTATTTATTGTTTTATATTTGTTATTAAAAACAAATTTTT